ACAAGTTGAATATATTTTCACATATTTCAAAAATACCCCAGAAGAGCAGCTAAGACTCATCAATCTTTTGCAGCAAAGATAATTGCTTGCTTGTGGTCTAAACTCTGGATTCTAATAGAATTTGTGTGTATGCATATACTTTGTCTACACCAGGGGGTAGAGATCATGAACAAACTCTTATTTAAAAAGAAACTTTATTTAAAAAGAAGATTCCCTAAGATCGGCAGTTGGCCCAAAGGCTACTGCGTTCCTAGGTTGAGTACTTCATACTCAGAACTGAGTTATGACCACAGATTTGTAGAGTCTTAAATGCTAACTTAACGTTTCTCTGTGTTGTCTTCTTGTCCCTACAAACAATCTGAATGACTTAAGAGAACTGTCTGCAGGAATGTCTTACAGAACAAGTATGCGGTCCTTCATGTATGCTGAAAACTTCCTGCTTCAAAGAAATCAGTTGATACCTGGAGAATTTCAGAGCTCTTAAAGTACCTTCAGGTTCTCTGTTTGCCCAAAGCCCCTTACAGTTTTCTCTTTTTGTTTTTTTCTCTCCTTTTTTTATGGTGGTAGTCCCTCCTTATTTCTTTTGGGACTTCCGTTTTGCTGCACTAAAGACTGAAAGCAGAAGCTGACTACAGGGATACTGCCAAAACTGACAAAGCTACTGAGCAAAAATGACATCTGTATTCATCTTCAAGCTGTCTTACGCTAGGAAAAAAGATAAAATTAAGGTATTAAGTGCTGTTTAAAAGTCATGTTAGCAAACACTGATATTGACATTTAGCTTGTCATGGCTAATTCAAATGCAAAGCAATCACCTTTATTCCTTCTCCAGGCTCAGCTGTGTTTCATGTACATACAGGAAAGAAGGAAAAACAAGTGCCCCTCCCCCCTACTGCTTATTTTTTAAGTGTAAATTCTGATCATTTAAAGATAAAAGTAAACAGATTGAGTAATACCACAATTAATGAGGCAGGGCTACTGTTCATATTCAGATTAAACATAACTGCCTTTAAAATAGCTTGTGTATGTTTTTGGAAATACGTTTTTGTTACAGTAGCAATCTGTTATTTTGTTGTAACTGATCTGTATGGCAACTTGAAAGTTTTTTGTTTTAATGCTGTTTGAGAAGATTGAAAAAGTGTAAAAAAGAAGATTGTAAATATTTTATATAAATGGTAAAATTTTGGTTTAATATTTATAATAGAAAAATATTAAAATTGCACTTCATGGCTCTGAGTTTGTATCTCAAAGAAATCTAAACAACCTATATTCATCTTCCTTGACTGTCACCCACGACAATTCTGCAGGATTAACCTCATACCAGAGTCCCCAGTCTAGCTTCGCCTTCCGTGAGCCTTGGAACGTTGCCTGAGAAAACTTAGGAAGCTAGGTACTTGCAGATTATTCTTTCAGTATTTTAGTGGTTGACACTACACTGTTTTGCTACTCACTATTCCAAGTACTACAAAGCACAGTTCTTCATTAGCACAATCTCTCGCTTTTAAGCATGCTAATTCTGAAAAGATTTCACAGCATGACAGCCCAATTCAGACAAGGCTTCTGTAGTGGCTGCTAATGCTGGCTATTACACAGGAGCACTGTAGCACCCTAAGGGCTTGCTATTCTTTACCTTGTAGGAAACCTCAAAATACCTTATCCCAAGTATGTTTTTATATGAGGTAATGAACATTCAAAGACAAAAGTAATGATCATACAGACCTATGTAATTTTTAAATCTTTTTTCTTTTTTTTTTTTTTTTAATGAAAATAAAATTTAACTGAAATTCCTTAGTAATCCCAGACAATGTAGTAGGGATGTATTTGTGACATGCCCTGTCTGTTGAAATTTTCCTGTATTGTTATCTACAGCCTTCTCCATTTTGGACAAAATATATCTGTTATTTTTTCATTACCAAAAAAGTAAGTTCCATCACTAATGTAAATCACC